GTAAGTAAGTAAGTAAGTAAGTAAGTAAGTAAGTAAGTAAGTAAGTAAGTAAGTAAGTAAGTGAGTGAGTTAGTTAGTTAGATGTCTAGATGAAACAATCGATGAAATAGATAATCATAGTACATTTTGTAACAATATCGATTAATCATAATTGATTAAATTAAAACTGATTTTTGTTTATTTAGTCTATAATCATCAGTTCCTTTGATTCTCATCATGTTTTTCACAATGAATTTGATCAATACAAGTTTGTATAATTGTGAAAAGGATCTTCAGTATACAATACTGTTAGCGATAAGAATAGATGCCGAAATTATAATCTATAGATGAACCAATCAGATTGAAGATAATGGATCTTTGATTTCAGTGCGAAATTCATTCATTCATTCATTCATTCATTTGGTTTAAGAGTATTTTGACATTTTAGTTCATGCCAGTTGGTGATGAAAACTCTGGCATAGTTTGACTCATGAATTCAACTATCAAAATTAATACGATCTCCACAAACTCGCATTCTAATAGTAATTATCATGTGATCACTAGTGACTGGCTTCAAGATGGATTTTCTGGAGTTCTAGTGAGAAGACGTGACAAGTGGAGTCCGATGGGTGTTGGGTGGAGATAGTTATCCATCACATACAATGGACGAATGGTTGGACAAGGTCATCGGTTGATTGAATTCAAACATTAACACCGTTGGATGATGGCTCAGTGTGTCTATATGGTACGACGAAGAAACTAACAGGGAATTGTAGTAAACCAAAGAGATCGTTTAATGATAAAGGAGGCAAATCAATCACTCAGATTGAAGAAGAGAGGATCAGATGAGTAGAATAATCCTAGGAACTCTCGAGTAGATTAGTTTCATTGAATCCAATGGAAATCGAAGCAACATACATAGATATTTCTACGAGACAATATTCAGTCAAAATATTGTATAATAGAAAGGTAATAATGAGGCAAGACGCAGGTTATTAGGTAATGATGGAAAGTCAGTTGAAGAGATTGTGAATCTTCATCGACTGAGATGGTTAGACCACGTGTTACGTATGCCTGAACACCGATTACTACGACGTGTATTGCTGACTAGTGTTGCAGATTGTTAAAAGAAAGGTGAAGTGAAACCTTGCGATGCATTTTATTCTGAGGATTATCTAGTCCATTTAACGTACATAACCAAATAAACTGGATATTATAAGCAAAGACGGATATTGGCTAGCAGTGCAATTCAGAATGTATATTTCATCATATTTGAGATTCGTCGGTTGTATGTGCCTTTATCTCAGAGTTGGTGTTCACTCCGTGACTCGAATCCAGCATCCATCTTTGCTTGTAATGAGATGGTGGAGAAGATTTGTAGCTCAGGTGGAGGATTTTGATGTTCGTTTGTTCTTTGAGTTGGATGGTTTGGTCGTGGAGCTTTCATCGTCCTTCTGAACGACATCATCAGCACATACTTCGGGTAATGTTTGTGACTTATGTTAATATCGAAGCAATCTACACAGGTTGTACATATGACAACAATAGACTAATCAATTGCAGTCATAAACATCAATGGATAGTTTCAAACAACCAACAAAATATAAATTTAAAATGGTTATTATTATCATTGATTCATTCCTTGATTTGTTTTGAGTTATCCAAATTTATTTAAGATTTACTTCTATGAAACTTAATCTGTTCCATATGATTTTGTAAGGATAGCAGAAGACATTCCATTTAATCACTGCTGGGGGAACATTATAAAATGCCGACGTGTAGCTCCCCTATAGGATGAATAAGAAGGATCCCCTATATGCCTACTGGCTATTCGAGATGATGATTTACTGCAGTCAAAAACTATAAATACATGAGATTTTTGTACCATATTTGACACTGTGTTGGGAAATACATTCCTGCTTACTAGTTTTCTGTTTTCTCTCTTGTGACGTTGCGGGTTCGATCTTTCAAGTAGTTTTGTAGTACGCTGCATAGCAAGGATCTAAAACTTTAGATATAACAGATTTCTAATTAGAGAATTATTAATAATTGGCTATGAATGATATACAATGATGACAGTTATCAATATCATGGTGTTTGAATTTTCAAAATCCTGTAGAATAAGTTTATCTGTTTGACTGATTAATTTCTTTAAACTGTATTTTGTTATGTAATATCATACATTTTAGGTATTATATTCGTCATTTACTATACACTCATCATATCTATGATGTATACTACTGATATCAACAGATATAAGTAGTATCTATCATCAATCAAAAGTGAAATACCTGATGTCATAAGGTTAAGAAAATAGACAAGAAGAGAACTAGAGTAAAAAGCGATTGGTATGTAAATGAAGGAACAACAAAGTCTTGAGACAATTGATGGATATTTTGCTAATAAACTATTTACTGTATGGTAAGCAAAGATGTATATAGTGGTTAGCAGTTGAATCCAGTTTGACGCGAGTCACTTCGTCCTATTTGGGACTTGTCAGCTGGATGTACCTGCATCTCAGAGTTGATGTTCACTCTGGAACTCGAACTTAATAACTTCCACTTCAAACGCCATCACGTAATCCACTCAGCTACTTAGTCCATCTTTGCTTACAATGCTTGTGAATTAAGGTTATATCGAGGCAATACGCACAGTCTGCACATATGCCAATTAGAGACTGACCAGTTGCAGTCCTAAAAACATCAATGGGAAGATCCAAACAAACAATACAAAGTATATTTACTGTATGGTTCCCAAGATTATGAAGATATTCTGTAATGTGGTACCAAAACGCTTTTGTTCATCCCTGCCTGTTCGTTCATTACGCAACTCTTTAAATAAATTCTTTTTCATCTATTTATATCACCACGTTGTTTCTGGTTAATTTAGTTAAGCACCTGAACATAATGATTATTGTATTCTATTGTATTTGTCACTAATTAGTCTACTTAATAATATGCAAAGTTATTAAATAAGATAAATGGTTAAGATAAACATACAAGAATTATATATCAGAAGGGATTTTTGTCGAGAATTTAGTATTTTCATAGTTGAAATCATGAGTGTGGGATAGTGTATGCTCACTGCTAAAGAGTCCCATGATAGGATGAAACAGCCGTCTAGTGCTTCCAGGTTTTCCACAATGGTCTAACTTCAATTGACTCATGATTTCAACGATGAAAATACAAGGATTAGTAATTTAAACAACTAAAACCTAACCGTGATTCAAACAACAAATTTCAAATTAGTCGGAAATATTTTCTATCAGTATATGGTTATGATGTTTGGCAATTTTTTTGATTGAGATCTTCAGTAGATCAATGCTAACAATTTCTATAACTCCATGCTGATAATTACCATATGCTCACTAGTGACTTGCTTCATGAGGTGGAGTTCAACCGAGTCTTTTGTGGGGCAGTTACTAACTGAAGACAATTGGTGAACGGTTGCTTAACTTCCTATGTTAATTGAAGTTAGACATTAACACCATTGAATAACATCTAGCTGAGTGGTCTAGATGTCAAGCTCTCACGAGCGAGACCGATAAGTCATGGATTCAAATCCCTCTGTTGTGGGATGCGCACTACTATACAACGACGAAACTATCGTTCAATATTTCAAGGTTTTCAATGGTGGTCTTGCATTGACCCATTCATAATGTCAATCAAATATTTTCTATTCTATACATTTTCAAATTCTAGATCAGAAGGAGTTTTGTGGAGATTTCAGCATTTTCATAGTTGAAATCATGAGTTAATTGAAGTTAGATCACCATAGAATACCTGAAACCACTGGATAGCCGTTTCGTCCTATTGTGGAATACCTCAGCAGTGCGCATACACGATCGCGCATCGCGAGATTTCAACCCAGGATCTATCACTCTCGTGCACGAGTGCTTAACCTTTAGACCACTGAGATGGCCGTCATCCAACGGTGTTAATGTCTAACTTCAACCAATCCACGAATCTCATGAGTTTGGGATCGTGAATGCGCACTACTGAGGAGTCCCATATTAGGATGAAACGGCCTTAAAGCAGTTCTTCCAGGTTTTCTATGGTGATCTAACTTTAAGTGACTCATGATTTTCAAATTCATACAAAATGATCAACATTCAGATAGATGAAGTTGTTGTTGTGCTTTTTTTCAGTTACACATTCAGTATCATGGTTCATTGAATTCAATGAGATATGAATTACACTTGTCAAAATCAAACAAACAAAACAAAACAACAAACAATCATATTTGCTCTCTTTAATTATCGATTACGATGTAAATATTATTGGTTTATTGATTAATTCTATTACACATTAGTAATGTGTATGTAGCCATGTCTACAAAGAGAGAGAGAGAGAGAAATAGCTACTAAGGGTATAGATTAGACGAGCCTCTTCTGTTTTTTTTTTCTTTTTCAACTATCATGTGTTCACTTATTGATGATGATGATGATCATCATCATCATCAAAATGCCTTTTATAATGTTCGAAATCAATCTAAATAATAAAGATTCAATTGGTGGAGTGGAGTGGGTGGGGGGGGGTGGTTATAATAAAAAAAGACAATGTAATTCGTACTTTTCTTTTTTTTTTTAATTTTTTTGCAAAACAAATAATCATTTTTTTTCTTTTTTTGTTGTTGTCATGATTAACAATTAATAAATATGCATTATTATTATTCATTTATTAATATTAGAATCAGACTTAAAGTTAGTAATGGATACACATGCATAACTAACAGCCCACATTTAGTTATATTCTCATTAAATAGTTTTGTAAAATGGTTCAATTGCGAGTGTATGTGTGAGGGTGGGTGGGTATATGGGTTTCAGTGTGTGTGTGTGTGTGTGTGTAGTGTAGTGTAATGCGTAATGTAATGTGTAGTTTGAGTTAAATGTATGAATCAAATGATAAACAATAACAATAAGAAGACATAGGAATGTACTCCATGATTGTAAATTGGTTAAATTGTTATCAGCACCATCATCAACATCGTCAACATCGTCATCATCATCATCATCATCATCATCATCTTCGACCAAATCTAAAATTTAGTATGTTAAAAGAATGAGAGAAAAAAAAGAGAAGAGTAATTTAGTTATGAAAAAAACGGTAACATGAAATTGATTAAAATCGATTACATGTAGTTTATATTATGATTTGGTTAAATTCTTTTTGGTATTGGTAAGCAAAGATGGATAGTGGCTAGCAGTGGAATATAGGACGCGCAATTCGTCTTATTTAGGACTCGTCAGCTGGATGTACCTGCATCTCAGTGTTGATGTTCACTGTGGGACTCGAACCCAGTACTTTTCGCTTCAAACGCTATCGTGTCATCCACTCGGCCACTGAGTCCTGATAGCCACTTGCTTGTGCGATGGGGTGAAGATGAGATTCATTTGGTATTGTGTATTTGAAACTATCCATTGGTGTTTAAAACTGTAATTGATCAGTCTGTTATTGGTTGATGTACATCTTGTGTAGATTGCCTCGATATTGATGTAAATCACAGACATGATAAGAAAAGGTGGATGGTGATGAGTAGTGAAATTTAGGATGTGCGACACTTTGTCATACGTCCATCCTATAGATGATGTTCACTCTAGGACTCGAACCCAGTACTTTCCGCTTTAAACTCTATCGCGTTATCCACTTAGTTATTGAGTCCTGATAGCCAATTGCTTGTGCAATGGGTTGAAGTTTAAATTCACTTGGTATTGTTTTTTTTTCAATCTTCCCACTGATATTTAGGACTGCAATTGATCAGTCTCCGACGAGTCGCAAATAAGACGAAACGCGCGTCCTGGATTCCACTGCTAGCTACTATCCATCTTTGCTTATAATGAATGAGAATTAAGGCTATATCGATACAATACTCACAATCTGCGCATATGCCAGTAAGAGACTGATCAATTGCAGTCCTAAACATAAATGGGAAGATTCAAATAAACAATACCAAGTAAATTTAAAGTAGGATAGTGGCTATCAGCGGAATCAAGGATGTGCGACACTTTATCATATTTTGGATTCATCAAGTGGATGTACTTAGAATGTTATCGATTTGAAAGTTTGCCAAATTCACGTATAGTTTTGCCTAGTTATTTATCTTACACATTGTAACATAGTCATCATGGATTTATCACAGTAGAGCCTCATAATAAAGTAATTTGCTGAAGAGTCCCACACTAGGACGAAATGGCCGTCCAGTGCTTCCAGGTTTTTCCATGATGGTCTAGCTTTAATTGACTCATGAATTCAACCACTGAAATTATTACAATCTCTACAAAACCCCCTTTCTGATAATCATCATCATGTGCTCACTAATAACTGGCTTCAAGTGGTGTTTCCTGGAGTTCTAAGGAGAAGCAGTAACCAGTGGAGTTCAATCGGGTCTGTTGTGAGATAGTAACTGACTGAAGACAATGGTAGACAATGGCTCAATTTCGTAAATTGGTTGAAGTTAGACATCAACACCGTTAAATGGCAGCCAGCTCAGTGATTTTGACGTTAAGCATTTGCGCGAGAGATTGATAAGTCCTGGGTTCGAGCGATTTCCTATTTATATAATTAATTCATGTTAAATTCATCACCAATTCTTGTGTTGCATCTAAAGCGATTATATGAGATTTTAGATGACTTTCTTTTAGTCATTTTGCTTCGGCTAAATAGTTCCAATATAGGACGTAGGAAACGAGTTTATAAGTCAAAAATGCAACAACTGTTTTGGATAATTTGTGAAATCTACACTTTTGGAAAACTCAATCTTCTGAATGAGGCATCAAAGTTACAATTTGAGACAATGAATTTCTGGTTTTCAAAAACTTTTGTCAAAGATATAAACAAAAATCTGGAAGCTAAAAACATAATCAGTGGGCCCTTCAAAGAAGAGAATTATATAGTAGTGGTTTGTGAACCAATTCAATATTTGAGGCCACTTGATATAATCAGAAGGGGTTTCGTGGAGAGTTCAGTATTTTCATAGTTGAAATCATGAGTCAATTGAAGCTAGACCACCAATGAAAACCTGGAAACACTGGACGGCCGTCTCTCCGATTGTGGGACTCCTGAGCAGTGCGCATCGATGATCCCGCCTCACAGGACATTAACACCATCGAATGCTGGCTCAGTGGTCTATCGGTTAAGTGCTCTGGTGCAAGACTGGTAGGTCGTGGGTTCGAGAGGCAGGATCGTGGATGCGAACTGGTGGGGAGTCGCATAACTGGACGAAACGGCTGTCCAGTGTTCCCAGATTTTCCATGGTAGTGTAGCTTCAATTGACTCACGCTTTCAACTATGAAAGTACCAATTGATATGTTTAAGAAATTTAAGATTTTTTGATAGTTGCCAACAGTCACACAAGTCAGTTATCATTTATTTTAATAAACAAATTGTATTTGTTGGTTGGCACACATGAATGGACATGTAACTTTGTTCTTTTAAAGATGACAATAATCCAGTGTAGCTTATATGGTGGATTATATACTACTACCTATTTTGAAAGTAGCACAATGCTTTTAAAAACAATGTAGAATTTTTTGACAACTTTAAAAAGATGTCCTCTTACCTGAAAGGAATCAACGAAAAAATGTGCAGTTTCAATTAGTATTATTAGATAGTAAGTAATTATTTCTCAATCTCATCTTAAAGGTAACTTATGTCGTTACCCAAACCAGAACTCAAAGAACCTATTCAGTGATCAAATCAAACAAGGAGGTTAATTTCATTTCAGTAAAGGTATGTTCATGACTATCTGGGAAAAGTCAAATATACAGAAGTAAGTAGAACCACATATTGTAGGTGTGATTTAAAGCATAAGCCTTTGATGTTTTCGCAAACTACTCCAAATTTATTTAAAATTATGAGACAATTGAGGCTAGACCACCGTACAAAACCTGGAAGCTCTGGACGGCCGTTTCGTCCTATTGTGGGACTCCTCAGCAGTGCGCATACATTTTAAATATCTCAACATTTATGCCCATATATATATATATATATATATATATATATATATATATATATATATATATACTTCATTAAAGCCGTCTAATGTAAAGCCAAGATATACAATTATTTGAAATGAGTTCGTTCTAAGACTTCTAGTGATTTCGGTTGGTAAGAATTTAGTCTTGTATAGTCTTCTTATCAGTAGCTATCTAAGGATATAGTGCTTCTACATGTCAACCTCATCGATATGTAGAAATTTGATATCACTTTACAAAAACTGTTGATTTACAAGAAATGAACCTTTTGTATAAGAATTGTTCATCCTCAAAGATATTTTAATGGCTGGTTTAAAGGTGACGAAGAACAAAGATCCCATCTTACAATACCAGACATTAATGAACCTTGACTGTTCCTTTGCAAATGTCGAACAATCGTCTCACAATTCACTGTTCCTTCATTTCAATACTTCATTTTAATCGCTTTCGGTTCACGGTTTCTCCTCCAGGAACTTCACGAATTTCTGCTGCCAGACATTCTATTCTTGACTCGCCATATATACTACTTATATAGATATAAGTAGTATTAGTAATAGTAGTATTTGTTGTTGTTGAAGACGATGATGATGTTCGGCTGTGATTGTGTGTTTATGGTAGTATGCATGTGATAGTGGGCATTGTGTCTGCTGTGATAGTATGATGATAGTGGTTTTGAATTAGTATGTTAGTGGTGGGATTCGAGCTGACGCCGTTTGAAGGTGGTGCCCAATCCAATGCCTTAGACCATTCGGGCACACGAAAAATAATCGCAACCACATTATTATGATATAAAATGAATGGGATGTAACTAGCACAGGAATACAGGAGGGATGTTGCATTCTATTCAGGACTCACCAGTTGGATTTATTTGTATGTCCTGAATTCTATTGTTAGCAATATTCTAGTCTATTCTACATCAACTTATTTCATAATGATTATATCGAGATAATCTGCACAGGATACCCATTTACCAATGAAGACTGATAAAACTTCAACTAAATCTATCAATATTATAATAATTAAAATAAACCTTTAGAGCAACTAGTCCCTTTGATAAATTTCAACAGTGTAGTAATAAGAAGATGAAGATTATCAGAACTATGTAGAGATATACTAGCGCAATATATTTCGAACAGTCTGATTACACATAATATACTTGTTAGGAACATTTATATATAAAAATAAAAGGTCAACCACACTGGAAATGAGGGGATAAGAGGAGAAAAGGATAATAATAATGTGCGCATACTGTGCGTATTACTTCGATATAGCCTTGATTCACAAGCATTATAAGCAAAGATAGATAGGGGCTAACAGTAGAATCCAGGATGCGCGATACTTCGTCCTATTTGGAACTAGTTAAATGGATGTACCTGCATCTCAGAGTTGATGTTCACTCCAGTACCGTCCGCTTCAAACGCCATCGATTTATCCACTCAGCTACTGAGTCCTGATAGCCACTTGCTTGTGCTATGTGATGATGTTTAAATTAACTTGGTATTGTTTGTTTGAATCTTTCCATTGATGTTTAGAACTGCAATTGATCTAAACTCGGCTATTGTGGTGTTCTATAAATGTGTAGAAGGGCGTATACCAAGGTTTATTGAAGCCTTAGCTATATGAAAATTCAAACCCTTTTGTGTATTCAAAAACAGTTTGTTCTCAACCGTGAACCTACTCTGGTAATATTAGCTTTTTATCCAGTGTGATTAGGTTTCAAATTGTTTTCACATTCACTTGGTAATGATTGTTTGCATCTTCCCATTGATGTTTAGGTCTGCAATTCATCAGTATCTTATTGGCATATAAGCATACTGTGCGTATTGCCTCGATATAGCCTTAATTCACAAGCATGGTAAGCAAAGATGGAGTTGATGTTCACTCTGGGAATCGAACCCAGTACCTTTCGCTTCAAATGACATCTCATTATCCACTCAGCTACTGAGATGCAGGTACATCCATCTGACGAGTCCTAAATAGGACGAAACGCGCGTCCTGGATTCCACTGCTAGCCACTATTCATCTTTGCTCATGATGTTTTCACATTATTACTATTATTAATCAGATTATTCGAAATGTAATGCGCTAAATTAAAACTAGTTTTATAATTGAATGCTTTTAGAGGAGATTTTTAGTAATTTTATATACATAGTTGAAATCATAAGTCAATTGAAGATAGACCATCATGGAAAACCTGGAAGCACTGTTTTAAGGCTGTTTCATCCTATTGTGAGATTCCTCACCAGTGCACATCCACGATCCCGCACTTGCGATATTCGAACCCAACACCTGTCAGTCTCGCGCTCGAACACTGAACCAATAGACCACTGAGCATGCCTGAATCCAACCGTGTTAATGTCTAACTTCAATCAATCCACGAAATTGAGCAAATCATTCACCAGTGTCTTCAGTGAATTAATATCTCACAATATATCTAGTTGAACTCTACTAGTTACTGCTTCTCCCTAGAACTCCATGTAATACCTCATAAACTCAATCACTAATAAACATATGATAAAAGGTTGAAATCAATGATTATAATAATAATAATCTATAAACTTACCTAGGACGACCTATAATAGCAAAATATTCATTTAATTTATGTAAATAAGTTCTAAGAGCTTCAGGTGTTTCAAATATAAATGGTCTTTCTGGTGGAACAATTTCAACTGCTCTAGTTTTAATAATTTTTCTTATATCATTATTATTATTATTATGATTATGATTATTATTATGATTGAATAATGAATTCAAAGTCATTTTATTCAATGGTATATATGATATATCATCTTGATTATTTCTCCATTTATTGAAATCATATTGTCCATGAATTTGATCTATAGAATAAATAAGAATAAGTAATATGAATAGATGATAATAAATGAAATGATAATTGAATCGTTGAATACCTTGAGTAGAATACATTTCTTTCTTCATTTAAGTAGCTGAAAAGATATTTGAAAAACAAAAAAATTTTTTGTTATTAATCTTTTAAATATAACTACTTATAAGTAGTATAAATTAATTGAATTAAAAGAAAATCTCATATAGTTGAAATCATGAGTCAATTGAAGTTAGACAATCATGAAAAACCTGGTAAAACTCGATAAACGTTTCGTACAATTGTCGGAATTTTCAGCAGTGTGAATATATGAGGTAGTCCTAGGTAAGTTTATAGATTATTATTATAATCATTGATTTCAACCTTTTATCATATACTCACTAGTGACTGGCTCTATGAGGTATTTTATGGAGTTCTAGTGAAAAGCAATAACTAATGGAGTTCAACCAGGTATGTTATGAGATATCAACTCACTAAAGACAATTGGTGAATGGTTGCTCAACTTTATGGATTGATTGAAGTTAGACATTAACGCCGCTAGATGCCGGCTCAGTGGTCTAGAGGTAAAGCGCTCGCGCGCAAGAATGATAGGTGTTGCGTTCGAATCTCATGAAGCGGGATCGTGGATGCGATGTGCTAAGGAGTTGAAAAAATAGAATGAAACGGCCGTTCAACAATTGTACGAATACCAAGTTTAGCTACTTTAGACTTTTCAATAATAAGCGGCATAGTAACTTTATTTAAATAGGTTAGATTTAACTACGATTTATTCGTTACTAATGAATAAAATGTGGTTAACTTTAAATGATTAACAAAGAATTATCTTTATATTTGAAATCATGTGTCAATTGAAATTAGACCACCAAGGAAAACCTGTAATCACTGGACGGCCGTTTCATCCTATTGTGATACTCATTGGTTTGAATCACACAAGGTGGGATGATGGATGCGCACTACTGAGGAGTCCCATAATAGGATGAAACGGCCGTCCAGTGTTTCCAAGTTTTCCATGGTGGTCTAGCTTCAATTGACTCACGCTTTCAACTAATCATATTCGTTTCCTCTTATCACTAACTTTATTTTGACCTTTGAACTATTACTATACGATCCTTGAGTTATCATCAGTTTATTGGTTACTATTCATAGCCACATTCGGCTAAATATTGTACAAATGTTATTATCTATTTTATGGGTCGATATGGCTTGTTTGGTTGGTATATAAACTCAGTATGTTTGAAATACAATGATTCATACCACTGAGACTGTTATTGGTGTTTTGGACTTAACTGGCTGGGCTAGGCAGATCGCAGGACCGGTTAGCATTCTAGTTTGCTCGTACGGGTTTCGTGTCACTGTTCCAACCGATAATTCGCTGCTTCCTAATTGGTGGTCTCATCAAAGCACCCATTAACTAGGCATTCACTCGGACACAAGCATAACAGTTCCATAATAGAATGAAACGGCCGTCCAGTGCTTCCAGATTTTCCATAATGGTCTAACTTCAATTGAATCATAATTTCAACTATATAAAATTACTAAAATCTTCACAAATCCCTTTCTCAAAAAATTATCTATATTTAAAGTTTTGAACAAGAAGTACTTATTTTGTGATGTAAGCTACTTATGCGGACAGATATAAGTAGTATGTAATAGAAATTGAAAGTTCAATGTTTATTAAAAAAAAGATTGAAATAAAATTAACTGGATGGAAAACAAAGAACAATCGGAATAACAACAGAATTAGAAGAATGATGGATTATATAAAAGAAGATATACAAATGATGTATTTAATGTATGATTTTCATATTGTACAAAGATATTGTTTGATTTAGCCGAAAACAATAAATTTGATTATCATACCTGAGTTGTTGTTCGGTACAATTTGAGTAATAATGTACATAATGTAGTTGGAGGTAAAACTCTGTAAATTTACTTTTCCGGTACACTCAGAATTATTAAATTCTGAGTTATAAAACTAGGATAGTGTATAGTATCACAGCTATTGTTCAGTCACCGCATGACTATTGGTTTCGTATTTTTTACAACTATCAATAAAACTTGCATACTTAGTCATGTTACTCCTCATGAAAGAGTATAAACCGCTCACTAGCATTATCCATCCAACTCTGTTCTAGACAATCTTTTCAATTTCTTTACAGTTACTATTCACACTTTTTATATCTGTTTACAATTCCTGACTTAGCGAGTTCTCTGATCTTACATTTTTCCGTTTCTCTTCAGGATTTCAGTTAAACTCTTGCCTCGTGATACAGTTTAATGATTTGATTGTCTTTTCCTAATTTCCTCTTCATCTGGAATTTGATTTGTTCTCTCCAATAGTAGGTTGTTACTTACGACATCCGGTCAATAGACATTAATTATCTTATGTAGACAATTGTTTATAAATATTTGTACATTTTTTATGGTGGCCGTGATAGTTCTCCACGTTTCAGCTCTGCACAATAGATTTTTGTTGACGTTCGTATTGAAGATGTTGGTTGACAGTTGTTTTGAGTTTCATATGTTCTTCAACCGTAGGAATTCTATCCATTTCACTTAATATCAACCATTATTAACACATAGTTATACATAATCCCACACACATACACACGTATTCAATACTTTTCACTTTCAGAACTTTTCACATGATTCACATTTTAATGACTTTTGTTATCCTACTTTTTAAAATTAACAATTAATTATGATTGGATCAAGATTTAGTGTAGATTTGATTTGACTATTAAACATAACAGATTATTATTTTGATTCGGATTATTGCCTTAATGAAGTTCAGAGGTCTAGAGGTTAACCGATCGCGTGCACGAAATTGTGGATGCACATTTCTGATGAGTCCCATATTAGAACGAAACAGCCTTCCACTACCTCCAGGTTTTCTAAATTGGTCTAGCTTAGATCGATTCATGAATCCAACTATTAAAACTACTACAATCCCTACAAACCACCATTCTATAATAAATTTGACAAATAAGCTAAGCTCTTGTCATACTTAGTGTTGCTCTTTGAACAATCAGAAAGTTTTACTGGATAATTTTACCGAAAGGCATTTGATCAGACTATAATTTTTAGAGTTAGACATAAACACGATCGTATTTAGGCTCAGTGGTCTATCAATTAACTGCTCTGGTAGGTCCTGGGTTCAAATCTCGCTAGACAAGGTCATGGATGCGTACTTCTGAGGAGTCCCACAATAGGACGAAACGACCATCCAGTGCTTCCAGGTTTTCCCTGGTGGTATAGCTTCAATTGACTAACGCTTTCAACTATAATTTATAGACGAATCAATTAGAATTAGGATAGTGAGTCTTAGATTTAGGTGAGAAATTCATTTATCCCTTATGGTATTATAACTGATGTCAGTTCATGATGAAGACCTTCGTTTTGATTTTGAATTTTTGTTTTCATAGAAACTTAAAACCCTGATTAGATCCTTGTAAGTGAATTAATCTTTTCACGGTCACTTTAGTGTCACTTAAAGGTTATCTACAAACATTCAAGTCTTACTATAAACGTCTAGTGTATTCCTTATGATAAAATAAATTCTCATTTTTATTTACTTCAACGAATTAAGTAGATTTTGGATTTAAAAAAAGAAGGTTGCAATAGACTGTAACTAGTGTCTAAAACCTATCTTGTATTGATTAATCATTATTGGATAAGTAAATCATTGTCATTTTCACGTCTAATTTACAATTTATTAAGATAACAGTGTAAACGTTATTGCTTAGATCATCAACATTGATGATCTATGTCGAATGACTGGAGGACTACTCGAGTTAGACGGGAACGGTGTAACGTACAAGCTAATTTTGAAGTCACACCTCGCGGTCAGAATCTAACTTGGATTACCCTATTCGAAGTATTAAAGTACTATGTCTACTTTGAAGACTATATAACACAAAGAGCGTGGTTATATAAATATATTAATCAGAATGAGTACAGAGATTTTAATGAAACCAACATCGCATGAGCCAATCCATGACGTATGATTAACTGATGCACGTTTTGTTGTCCTTGACTTTAACAGGAATCAATGATCTGTTCGATATTCAGTGACCCAATTTGCGGATGATTTGGTTAAGGCTTAGTGACATTTCACTGCCCCTACAGTATGCTACTTATGTCGACAGACAAATTACAGATTGTCTCACTAAAATCTGCCAACCATACAGTAAACAGTTAATTTGCAAACTATTAATCGATTGTCTCAATCTTGTCTGTTCCTTCTGTAAATATCAGTCCATCTTCTCTGATTTCATTATTTATACATTTTCATATCGAATGTAATTCGTTTCTGTTCTATCGTTATCGATCTTCTGCCCAAATACATTCTATGTCTGACCTACATCATATACTACTTATATGGATATAAGTAGACCACACTACACCAGTAGTTGATAGTCAATAAGTGTTAATTGTATCGAGTATTATTTTATAATTTTTTCTAAGATTTTAAAATACAAGTTATAGTTTCAGTTGCTATGTTAAGCCTACATAGTTTAATCTAGCTTCTGGTCAAACCAATTTACTCATTCTCTTTGGATCACATTTTGACCCCGTTAATTATTCGTTTATCAACATTAACTGTTTTCATGTGGGGATATATGTGTACATTTCTTATCTTATAATAAAATGTTTTTAACTTTTCTTTGGCCCCCAAATTCTCTGGTACGGCTGAGAGTCGGCGGGGGAGTCCGCTCTCCCTCTCCAAATGCTCTCACATGGCCTAGCGTATACAGCCTCTGTCAGGGAAGTCCGACTCACTGCCTTCTTGCACCACTGGTGTTGCTTACGAAATTGAGAGTACGAAAAGCGAATGTCCAGCGCTTTAACCGGGTTGGTGGACATGGAAAATCCACTTAGGGGAGTTGGAAAACCCTGATCCTAAACCAATGGTGCACATGGGCTCTAGTACCATAAGGGAACAAACGGCGTATGAATCAATCGTTGGTCACCGATTACCTTGGGACTGCATCTCCTTACGGTGTTCCACTGCTTTGTGGACTAGATCTTCAGGTCAAAGGCTCCGGGTGTGGCCCCCTAAGGAAACCACCTGTTTCGGTTTGGGCACCTGGAT